TGGTAAAACTTTTAGAATAAATTGTAACTTTTAAATTGCTGCTCTTTAAGGGCCACAAAATAGTCAAGATAGGTGTTATTGCTAATTATCTCTAGTGAGGACCACTGTGCTAAGTGGTATTCAAAGGTTCCCTTAAACTGAAGGCTGTAAAATCAGGGAAATACCACATTAATGGGAAAGGCAAGGTATTCAGAAATAGAGTGTGTATTGTTTGACTTTTTCATATGTACTAGTGCATTTGTGTCAGATTTTTTTGAAGTAGTCACATGTTTTTCTTAACGGCAATTGCTAATTACCTTTGGTGAAGAGGTAGAGTGGATCCTGCAGAACCCAAAGGGGAAAGATAGAGCAGTTACCGGTGCTTGTAGGTGTGTGCTGGGGGACAGTGTGGAATATGAGCGAGAGGCCCTGGATGGGCAGGATAGCGCTGAAAAAATGTCAGCCCACTTATGTGTAGTGTTTTTGAGAAAGAGGAAGAAGAGTGGGTAATAATCCTGATAGGAGAGAAAAACCATGAACCTGATGTGACAAAACAGAGACCCAGCATAGAAGATTGTGAAGCTACCTGAAATAAGGCTAAGAAAACTAAGGCAGGTACTTGCCTTCAAACTAGAGAAGATGACTGAGGGGAGATAGGGATAATTTTGATGTAGAGGAAGTTTCATAACATTTGAACTTCTAATCTCAGGTGTTCTCTCCCCCATCAAGTACTGAAAGCTCCACTAAGCTTTTAAAAACAAAAGTTCTTTGTGTGAATCTTCAAGGTTTGTGTGGGTCAGGCTTTCAGCCTTTTTCTATGTGATTGGGATTTGACATTTTCCCCCTCTCACATGAAAATCTGCTGGTTACTTTCTGTTGACTAGAGGACCCTTTATGCAGAGTCAGATACTAAGAGGAGTGGCTTTAATGAACTGACATTAGTCTAGATGTGGCCAGCAGAAGGCACTGTATGAGCCAAGGGATGTCAAAAATAGATTTCATTGGAAGGGAGTAATTTGTTTAGTATAGGCTGGGGTGATATTTTCAGAAAAGGTTCAAGACCCTCTGGAATGTTTTGCTCCAATCTTGCATTGGCTAGAGAGGAAACAGTGACAATGTTTAGATACGGGGTCACTGTGAAGACCAGATAGAAGGGAATGTTTGAGAGATGCTGACAGGGCTGAGGAGATACCTAAAAGTAACTCAGTTTGAGAAGTTCCTAGGTTTTGGACCTGAAGGAATGGAGATGAAGAGCATTGTCTGTTTATAGACAGTGTCCTTTCAAAAAGACAGTGGTTTGGATTAGAGCCAGAAGTTTTTCACGCTAAGCTCTCCTTTCTTCTCTTTTGTACCATGAGTGAAAGATAACAAGTCCCTTCTCAGTCCCAATGAGTGGAAATGCTGGCTTCAGACAGCATTTGCACATTTCTGTCAGTTCTTAAAAAAGGAGGAAAGAAAATCTAAATGTATCAGTTCTCACTGTCTGTCTGTAGTGCTGCTTCCTTTCTTCCTTCTTCTTTCTGGAAGGAAAGGGTGCCTAGCTGGATATGTGGATGATGAGAGAGAGAAAAAGTTTTGGATCACGCAGTAGCAGTCGTGTAGTCTTACTGCCGTTATCACCCCAGTTATTTCCTGGGTGCCCTGTGGGGTACTCAGGAATTTAAGAACAGAGCATCAGAGAAACCCAGGTTCTGTCTGGGAGCTGCTCAGAATAAGCAAGGTAAGGAGTGCTAGCCAGCATGCTGCTCTGCAATCCTGCTGCTGTTTTTAGATGAGATAGCTGAAATCAGGATTGCCAGGGAGACAGATAATGCCTGAGGCAAATGTCTGAGGATTTGCTGCAGCTGAAGAACTGGAAGTGTAAAAGTCTCCTTTTCAGAATCCACTGCCTGGGCCCAACCTCTTGTGGCAGGTGCCTTGCAAGTCCTCTTTAGAGAATGTGGCAAAACTTATTTTTAAGATGCCACTGCTGAGTGCAGGAGCTGTGTATAGCTTAGAGCACTCATTGGAAGTGTGAGAGGTCTGAGATAGTTTCTTTTGTCAGCCTGGGGATACAAGCCTGCATCTTCCAGCTGCCTAAAGAGTTGCTGTTGTAGCCAGGCTGGGATGAGGAGCAGCAGCATATTTGCTTGCAGCTCAGAGCTGAACCTCTTTTACAGCAGAGACCATGAGTTCTGGGGACAAGCAGAAGAACAAATGAGGGGGAGAGTGTTGTACTGTAGCCCGGTGGCTGAGACCCACAGGCAGCACAGAGTGTTGCAAGTTGTGGCTTCTGCATCTTCAAAGTGCGTACGTTTTACAGGAAACAGAGCATGGATAATAATCTGAAATAATTCCCAGCCTTGGCTGCATTTCGTAACTGTTCCAGCTTGGATATATTGCTGTTATCAGGCTCTTTCACAGCATCTAAGCCAGGTTTTGGATTGCGGTGTTGTTGAGGGAGGCGTTGGACATCTCACAGCTTGGGCTGGATTCCTTTGATTGTGTGGCAGGAACAGGTCAGGTGGGCTGGCACAGTGGTTGACAGCCAGATGATGGAAATTGGATATGCTTTGAACAGCACCACAGTCTCACAAAACATAAGAATTAGCTGTGTACCAAGGAGTAGGAGGATTAACTACTGAGTCATCTGTTTAGAAGGGCACTCGGGGGGGAGACTGCTCCGCATGCTCTTAGGAGTTAGTGAGCAGTGCTTTTCATACAAGAGGTCAAGAGTTTAGTTACGGGAGGCAGTTTGGGTGAGTGACTGTGATGTAATGGCGTTCAGTAAGGAGTGGGAGAGAGGGTAAAACCAGCAACCTTCGTAAGAAGAAAAGAGTTTATTTCCTTGTCAAAGCTATACAGAGGGCTCAAATGCAAACTCTCCCACCTTGCAAAGACAGGCAGGGGAAATGGTAAGCTTTTCCTCGACTTCAAAGCTAGGAACCAGATGGAGGAGCTGGGTCAAATGTCTAAGGACAAGTGTAAGTAAATGTAGTGCAAGGATGTAGGTACAGAATTATGTCAAGGCACAAAATAAGTTGCAACTAGTAAGAGAAATTGAGAGCTACAGTAAATAATTTTTAAGATGTCAAAGTCTTTGTTTCACTTTCCCAAAAGGAACTTGCATGGTATCTGGCTTGGTATAAAATGTTTCTTGACTAAAAATAATGTAACTGTTTGGACCTCTGTGTCATCCTCACTTGAAAGTTGATACTCTGGACTCTTCTTTGTGTCACTTGGCATCTACCCCACACCAGAATCTTGAATTTACTACTTGCATTTTGGCCCGACTGGTAATAACCATTGTTATTTGCAATGCTGTCTCTCGCCTGCTTTGCATTTTTCATCTCTAACATGCAAAGTGCCTCCCAGAGGAGTTCTTTTAATCTCATCTTCTTCACCCTCAAGCAGTGTAGAGTTCTCTCCAGTCAGTGCACAAAAAACCTACTGAGCTGCTCCTTCCCCCAGCATTAATAGGATTTTCCAACATAAATCTCTCAACTATCAATGGATTAATGTGCTTAAAATGCAATACACTAGGTGGTTTAAAGAGCTCAGCCATGGGTAATAAAATGCAGTACCTTTCACCACAGTAATGCTAATTCTGATCCACACAGGATGTTAGTGACTGAAGTTACTGCTTGAACTTCATCAGCTGAGTGTACTTACAAGCCCATGTCAGGGATTTCTCACTGGGCAGAATGCAGTGAGCTGTGCAGGCAGTGCCTTCCCATTTCAGGGAGCACAAAGATATGCATCCACATTTAACTTAGACAGTTTAAAGATGTTTGCTAGAAATAAATGATGGTACAGGGGATTTCTTGTTTTGTCATTCTAAGGAAAAGAGATGATGGGGGGAGCAAAGATCCCAATATGATATTTATTATTCATACTTTTCTTCAAACATAAATAATGCTTGCAATCATATGTATAAATTTGTTCAGTTATACATATCAGATGACATGGTCTGGGACGGGGATTGCTGTTCTCTGCCTATCTTCTTGGAATAGGACTGGTTTGCACACACATGAATTTTATTCTGTTTTTAAAACTACTTTTTAAAAAAGCATTTAAGATTTTTCTTTTGCACACACTTGTCACTGTATTCAGCAGAATCAACTTTTTTTTCTTTAAAAAAATATCTCTCCCATTGCAAACTAATGTGTTTGTACACCCTTGAGAAGGGAGCCACTTAGAAAAATCAGTCACAGTTTCTTTCCAGACCTTGAAGTGATGGGTGTGTGACTTTTTCCCTCTGAATTTTTGAAACCATTTTTCGAAGAAAGTAAACTTTAGTCTTGGTTAAAAATAAGAAATCATGTGGCAAAACATTTTAGCAGTTTAAATAAGGGCTAAAGAAGTTACAACCCTTATGGAAAGTCAGGTGTTTCATTCTCTACTTTTTTTTTTTTTTGAATGCAGTGTGGTGAGGTTTAGTGTCCTAAAATAGTCTTCTGCATCTGGAGAATACATCTGTTAAGTAGCGCAATTAGTGATTATATATTGGGTTGTTTTTACAATAACTCAGATGTTTTTCTGCGAAACTATTACCAAGGTTATGATTGCTCTTATCTCTTTTGTCTTCTCTTCCCTTCTTCCTTTCTTTCTTAACTATATTACCAAGCAAAATTTATAGCAGAGACCAGAGTCCTTCATGTTTGATAGGAAGGTATTTTTGAAATGCTTACTTTTAAAAAGTTATCTTTTTAAATACTTTGTTGGCTTGCAAGCCTTTGTTTTCTTGTTTCTTTATTGACCATCCCCCAAAAAATTATTTTGAAATCAGGACTATTATTTTTTATTTTTCTTCATTTTGTGGGATTTTTTTGTGGGGGGGAGGTGGGGTGGGGTTGATTGCAAGTGTGTTTGTTTGGTTGTTTTGTTTTAATTTTTTTAATCCTATCCCTCATTTTCTACTAACCCCTTCCGCCAAGGACTGTGGCTCCCTCATGCTTCCCAGTTCTCAATTCCACCCCGATTAACTTTGAGTTGGTTGGGAAAACATATTTAATTCTTCTTGCATTCCCGTTCTGTTGCAGATTTTGACTTGAACTATTTTTGGCATTGGAGCAAATTTACAGACTACGTGCAATGTGTCCTCACGTTCACTGGTGTGACTGGTTACATCACTTACCTGTGGCTGGACTCCTCCCTCTTTGTGGAAACGCTGGGCTTCCTTGCAGTGTTCACTGAGGCCATGCTGGGTGTCCCCCAGCTGTACCGCAACTACCAGAACAGATCGACAGAAGGAATGAGGTACAGTGCCTGTCCTACATCAAACACGTTTGTGTGCCTTCGTGGGGGTTGTCTCTGCAGTGTGGGAATGGCTTTTCCAGGAAGGGCAATGTCATCTCTACAATTTTTACTTGAAAACACAGCGGCAATCGGAGTAGACTTTTCTGTCAGTAGGAGCTGGTGAAGCACTGCTGAAGGCAGTGGGAGTCCTATGACACCTCTGAAGTCTGCCCATTATCCAAGTCCAGCTGGAGAGTTCCAAGGTGAAGCATGTTCTAGTGAAATAAACATGTGAAACCACTGCTGTTGCCATTAGCAACGTGTTGCCGTTCTACTCAAGCTGTGCTACACCGGTAATTAGAAATGGTCTAAAGAGATCTTGCATATCAAAAGTAATAAAGAGGATGAAAATATTTTGAGCCTTCAACCTATAACTATCAGTGTAACTCATAGAATTAGCTCTTCCTCACATATCTGCTCATCACTTCTTCATAATCCATTACTACATTTGTAGCAAATGGCATCAGTACTTATTTTTGTGTCAGAGCTTGAAACTGACATTTGCGAAAGTGCCAATGTGACTTTTACAGTCATGACTGTAAAAATGTGGGACAGAAAATTTTAATCTTGTGCCCACTCTTGAGTCATTAAGTCTGATTATTTTTTCACACTGTTTATTGGATAACTCACATGGTAATACTAAGATTACAAAGGCAACTTGTGAAGCTTTTTGAGAGAGGAAACGTTCACTGTGGTGCATCAGTGCACTGGTCTGTAGAAACAATACAGCAGCAAATTCAGTTCACAGAAATGCATTATTCAGATCACAGTTCACAGTGATCATTTGTGACTGTCATCTCTTCCAGTGTTTCATTATGACTTCTCTGCATTCCTTTTAAAATTTGCTGGGGTAATTTTTACTTTGGTGAAGACAATTAACCATGCCACCCCCAAAGGATAGCAATTCTGTCCTCTGTTCACATTGTTTGCTTTACTTGTTTGGCTTGAGCATGCTTATACTAGCTACTCTGAGATATTTTCTAACTTGAAATGTTCAGAAATTTGCTTTGATACTTCAGGCATTTTCTGATTGGGAGCCCGTTTTGTATGGAATGAGTCAGGATTTGCTTCCAAAATATTGGGGTATTTTTCCTACACTCACTGTCTTGGAAAATTCTGTACCTGTGATATCCAGAAAGCAACTTATCTGCTAAACAGTTTTTATGCTCTGGTTTGACTTTTTTTTTCCCTTTTCTATTTTTCATCTGTGAATCATAATGCCGTATTAATGATGGCCACTGGTTGTGTTTTGCTTTTCCTTAACTCCTTCCTGGGGATGTGAGTTTCAGTTTTGCTATTTCTTGTATGTGCTATTAGCAAAAGGATTTAAAAAACCTTTGTTCTTTGTAAACTGCTAAGCACAGAATTGCAGAATTCTCATCTAAGACTACTTCACGAAAGAGTGCTGTGTTTAGTCCAGAGAAAATAGCATAAAAGCTCATGTTTCCTTGTCACGGAACAGAGCCAGGTCAAGCATAGCCACGCCGCTTATCACTTGTGCCCACAGTTCCAGAATGCATTCCTCCCTCTGGTTCCACTCTTGAAGAAATACTTTGTGTGGCATTGGACATTGATGGGTCTGGGCACTGATGAAGTAATGCACAACTTTCTGCTGTTGTACTGCAGTGGGAGGATATTCGTGCATATGTTGGTGCTCTTTCTTTTTATCAAGTTAAATTGTGGTTTTACATATGTTGTAGGTACCACACACACTTTGTAGTACCATGCAATCCTAAATTGACTGCATGTTCTCTAAACATTACTGGGCTGTTCCTCCTGTGAGAGTGAGTGATTTCTCCCAGTGTATTGCCTTCTGTTGAAGGAACTGTTGGAAATACTTCCTCTGAACTTCCCTTCCTGTGCCCACTTCTCTAAGAGCATATCAAGAAGAGACCCCAGTCACAGGAATACTGAAGGGAGCATGTAACAGTGCAGCCAGCCTACTTGCATGGGTATTTACCAGGTGAGGGCTGGCTGATGCCCAGGTTAGCTGATTCCCACTGCTCTGTGCAGTTATTTACAGCTCAGGGCAGAAATAACCATGTGTGTGGTTAGTTACACTGTTGGAAGCAATTGCATTGGGGATCCAGGCCAAAATGGCTGGCTGCCAGCCATGCTTTTAGCAAGCCTCAGTGGCAAAGAAAAAGAAATGAGTTTCTAGTGTCTCTGTGACTTTAAGCTTAATGGGAAGAGCAATGAATATTAAGCTGTTCTATATAGTGACCTGCTGGTCAATCATCACATCCTGGTTGGAGGTGGTAATTTCTTAAACCACAGTAATTCTGTCACCCAGTGCAGGAGTGCAGTCTGTGTCCCTGATAAAGATCACAGCCTTCACTACTACCAGAGAAGTGGTTGTTCACAGGTCCTCATGGCTTGGCTTAGAAAAGCTGTAACATGCATCTGTCTCTGAACTGGGACAGAGCAGCTGATCCATTAGTTCTATTTTGCAAACAAGTCTTTTCATAAAGGTTAACTTTTGAAAAAGAAATGGAGAATAAGGTCTCAGTATGTGGCCCCAACTGATCGGAGTATCCTGCTGGACTCCTCTGATACTCTTGTTTCTGAAAAAAGGCCACACTACCCACAACCCTTCCTGCCCCAGTAACATCTGTTTAAGTGAGAAGTTGGGGACGTTTCATACTTGACGTAGCAGTCATTTCCTGATAAACAAAATTGGAGACCAGGGGCCATGAGAGAGCCAAATGGGAGAGCTGGCTGCAGTGGCAGCCAGGATATCCTTTAGGAGTCTCTTGTGGAAAGGATCCTATCATCTCAACCCTGTATTTCCATTTGCTACTGCCTAAAAAATCCCCTACTGAAAATATCCTCTGTGTCTGAGGTAAATGTCCAGAGGGCATCTGCAGCTTAGGGAGTTATGTTTATTGTAATAGAGCATGACTGGAGTGAAGGAATCACAGTTATGTGCTTTGTAGTGCTCCTGAGAATGAGTCTGCTGGTTCTTTGATATCTCTGTTCTGCTGGATAGAGCTCCTCACATCTTATTTTTAAGTTTTCATTTTCCCCTTCCTCTCTCATTTTCCTTCTTTTTGTAGGATTATTACTACTAGGTCCTGTAGCTTCCTCCTCTCTTCTGACAGAGCAGAGACCAAAGGTGAAGTTGGAAAGAAATGGAAACAATAAAAATAGAAAGGAGATGCATGCTGAGTAACAGCTTTTGTGGAGTGAAGATAGTGTAATATGTCCTTGTGGGCTGATGGTTGATGGGTGGAAATTTTCCTATGATTAAGTAAACAACTAGTCAAAGCAACAGAAATTTTCATCATGTTCTCTTTGACAATTCACCTGGTTACTTTTGGAATGAGTACTTTATGGAAACTTGGAGCTCTGTTTAAGTATTTAAGTACTTTTGAATGGTTGCAAACCGAAATAGTACAGTAGTAGTTATATAAATTATGGTACTAAACTTGACAGAAGTGCTTTGTAATGAATTGTGTTACTACCTATCAAAGAAATATTCACTTAATCTCCATTCTTTTCAAGAACTAAACTAGTTCTGTCAGGTGACCTAGTAAAAGAGTAATTTGATTAATTATTGGGGTGGATTAGAATTATAAGCGATTATGTTAGAAAAAGGACAAAAGCTGTCTCAAAGTTGAAGAGCTTTAGAGTAATTGAGAAAAAAAGGCACTATGACTTTAAAAGATGGTTCATCACTTGTAAATTTGCTTTATATTATGTGGTAAAATATTTCAAGATTTGACATCCAGAACACCTCTCCTCTACCACCTGTTAGGAGTCAGAGCTGCTGAATACTACAGTTGGGATCTGATGCTCCTTGTTTTATTAACTGCTTTTGTTTTGGGACAAGAAACATACAGACAGGAACTTACTCTGTCATTTATCATTGAGTCCCACTCCTTCTAGGGTAGTTGCCTCTCAGTCACTTTCTCTTTCTAATAAACTGCATTCATGAGAAATGGTGGTGTTCAACAGGAGGCAGTGGAAAGGGTAGGAAGGTTGGCTCTGGATCTGGCAGCAGCACTGCTGCACATAGAGGTCAGTGCATTGGGAGAATCACATCCTTGTGTGGACAGCAGCTTTTGTGGAGTTGCTGTAGGGGGGCACTGTGTGCTTTTGTGCAGGTGTGGGGAGAGCCTCTGAGGGGAGGCACTGCTGTTATTATGCTCTCCTCATCATCCCATCTAACCTCCCTCTACCAAAGGAGGAGGATGGAGGGTTGTCCTGGGGTGACTTCATGATGCTTGTATCCCCATTTGTCTGTTTAGAAATAAGTTTTGCACCTTTAAGACTGGAAGTGAGGGAGAGAAGAAGCACAGAGTTTATCAGAAACTGCACTTGCTCCCCTGCATCCTGGTGCTGGACTGTGTTGCCTGCAGCATGGACAGACAGCGGGACAGAGCTCTCCTTTGCTTTTAGTTAGTTTTAGCTAGCTGAGGCAGTGAAGTTCCCTGGACTATGGTTTGTCATTTTCTTTGGTTTCTGTTTAAACCTGCTCTGGACTGAACACCCAGAGGAGCACTGGCAGCTCGCACCTGTGGCCCACCAGGCTGGGCCTAGGCCGTGGCATTTCCAGTGCTGGAGGGACTGATAAGAGACTGCGAGCTGCAACCCAGGGAGGGGACTTTCTGAGTTTGTCACCTCCTTTAGAGCAGCAAGAGGTTCTACAGTTTAATATTGTTCAATTTTTTTGTGCTGATGAATGCTTTGCCTGTTAAATAAACAGGTTTTTTCCACTTTTCTCCAAGGAAATCTTTTCCCAAGCCCGATGCGGGAGGGGCCACTTGAATTTGCTCTCTAGAGGAAACCCCTTCGGAGGTTTTCTCCCAAATTTGCCCTAAACCAGGACAAGGGTGTTCATCTGTACAGTCTGTAGCCAAGTGGTAGGTGTATGGTCCTACCCAAGGACCGTGTTAACCTTGGGACTGCATGAAGGTTGATTTGCTCCAGGACAGTATTGCATTCCTGTCTGCTGCCCT